ACCGAGCTTTACCCTTTTCGTTTCTAGAAGATCAATGGTCGATTCTTGGGAGACGCCATCAGTTACAAGAGAAAGACACTGGGATGGCCGACCCTGCAAGGATGTAACCGTCTGTACCAAGGTTTGCCGCTTTCTTTCTAGAAGATCAATGGTCGATTCTTGGTCCAAGCCATCAGTTACAAGAAAAAGCCATTGGGATGGCCGACCCTGCTGGGCGGAGACGTACCAAGATTTGCCGCTTTCTTTTCTAGAAGATCAATGGTCGATTCTTGGTACAAGCCATCAGTTACAAGAAAAAGACACTGGGATGGCCGACCCTGCTGGGCGGAGACGTACCAAGATTTGCCTCTTTCTTTTCTAGAAGATCAATGGTCGATTCTTGGTACACGCCATCCGTTACAGAAGAAAGTCGCTGGGATGGCCGACCATGCAGGGCTGGAACGTACCAAGGTTTGCCGTTTTCTTTTCTAGAAGATCAATGGCCGATTCTTGGTACACGCCATCAGTTACAGAAGAAAGTCACCGGAATGACAGGGAGCGGCCGACCCTGCACGGACGTACCGAGCTATACCCTTTTTTTTTCTAGAAGATCAACGGTCGATTCTTGGTACACGCCATCAGTTACAGAAGAAAGTCACCGGGATGGCCGACCCTGCAGGGCCGGAACGTACCAAGGTTTGCCGTTTTTTTTTCAATAGAAGATCAATGGTCGATTCTTGGTACACGCCATCAGTTACAGAAGAAAGTCGCTGGGATGGCCGACCATGCAGGGCTGGAACGTACCAAGGTTTGCCGTTTTCTTTTCTAGAAGATCAATGGCCGATTCTTGGTACACGCCGTCACATACAAGAACGAGAGAGCATTCGGAGTTGGCGCTCTTTGCAAGGATGTACCAAGGTTTGCCGCTTTCTTTTTTTGAGGATCAATGGTCGATTCTTGGTACACGCCGTCACATACAAGAACGAGAGAGCATTCGGAGTTGGCTGGGATGTACCAAGAAATACCTCTTTCTTTTCTAGAAGATCAATGGCCGAATCTTGGTACACACCATCAGTTACAGAAGAAAGTCACCGGAATGACAGGGAGCGGCCGACCCTGCACGGACGTACCAAGGTTTGCCTCTTTCTTTTCTAGAAGATCAACGGTCGATTCTTGGTACACGTCGTCACCTAAAAAAACGAGAAAGCATGTGTTCTTGTAGGTACACGCTATCAACTACAATGGCCAGCAATGGCAAGCGATGGCAAGCAATGGCAAGCAACGGCCAGCGGCGCTCGTACTTGCTGTCCGGATGTCAACGAAATGTGTGCTTGCAATGAAGCGATCGGCAAACCCTGGCAAGACAGACAAGACGGCAGTTGCTCAAGATTCTCGGACGGTTGTGGGGAAACTTAGGAAGATGAGAAACCCCGTATTCACAACACTCGAACCTTTGTGCAGGATGGCATTTACAGAAGAGAAGCTTGTTGTCGACCTCGCCCCCGCATGCGACCCCCCACACCTGCTGCTCACCTCGACCGCACCAGCACCAAACGCCCGCCTGCACAGAACTTTGGCCGCGGGCGATCAAGTCCGGGCCCTTGCTGCTGTCACGATCGGCGGGTCGGACGGCTGCTCTCCTCTGCCTGGCCTTGACGTCCTCTTTTCGGACCTCAGAAGCGTTCCTGTAGCTGTCTCGCCGTTGCCAAATGCTGGAGGAGTTCGAGGGGGCCAACCGTCGTATGCGGCACAACAAGGTTCCGTCGATTTCCATTTTGACTACGGGTTCGCCTTCTGCCTCCACCAATCGGATGCCTTCACCAAGCGGGGCTTTGGGTCCACCTGCATTGGAAGCACATGCAAGGGCAAGGTACTCGTGTACTCCCGTGGTCTGGACCCTTTCGTGTGGGATCGCAAGAGGAATCGAGGCGGTGCGATCATCTGCCCCGGCGGGGGAGGTCACCTACTCTGCCTTCGCTGCTTGGACGCCATGTATGCTGGGGGTCAGCCGTTCGTTTCGACCACCACAGGGGGCACTGCCATCGACCGGGGTGACCTCTTCAGGAAGTACGAGGCCTTCCCAGCCTCGAAGGAGCTGAAAGAGGCGCATTCGGGGCAGCCTGCGGCAGAAGGAGGGCACCAGTTTTTTGTCCAAAGGCGGGATCTGGCCGCGTGCCCATATTGCAAGGAGAGCCGGACGTCAAAGCGGGGCCGCCCTGAAAGGAAGAGGCTGTCTGAATCGGGGCCCACTCCAAAGACACTTGGATCGGTTGCGATCCTCGGGGAGTTGAAGTGGAGCGCAGTCCCTCCGACCATCATCGCAGCCGGCTTCTTCCTCTTGCCGCAGCTGGACGTCAATTACCGGCTTCTCGACATCTCGTTGAGGGACGGGAGGCCCGTCAATGTCCCGAGGCTCGTACAAGTGGACCACCTTGGCAACTACAAGTGCATGTGCGGCCAGAGGGCGTGCAGGGAGCACGAAGTGGGATTCCTCAGAGACACTAGCTTCCTCGACGACTGGTGGCAGTCGGCTTCGAAGGAGGTTGAGCCCCCCTTCGGATCGTTCAGCGGGGGAAAGAGCTTTGCACGAGAGGTGACGGGTCCTGGGCTCGGACGGGTGCTCCCACTTGATCGCGACGGCCACCTTGGGGTGCCCCTCATTGGCCTCAATGCGGAGGCCTGGCTGGGGCCTCAGTTGCGGGCGTTCGTGACCTGCGAGGGAGCCGATGACTCTCCGGCTGTCTGCGTGCTCGCCGGAAGGAGCGCCTTCTGCAGCAGATGCTCAGAGCAGGAGCGGTGTCCGCACATACAGAGGGTGCTTTCGATAACAGGGGAAGGAGACGGGGTTCAGATCGGGCCTGCTCCCGAGGCAACCAGGACAGACGTACAGAGAGGAGCAACAAATTCGGACAGGCGTGCGGAGAGGTCGGCGCTTCGAGCGTCAGGGCAGAGGAAGCTCCAAGTTTGCAACGACCCTGTGTGCCGGAAACCTGACACGAAGGTCCCCTGCACGCATGGAAGTACGCTCGAGGAGTGGGAGTGCCTGCCTGCGGCAGCCTTGGACATGGGGCACAGCCACAAGGTGATCGACACGGTCATGAGCAGGGGTGGCCAGCAGGTGACAAGCCTTTGCGAGCGGTGGGGTGATGAAGGGGTGCGGCTGCGAGACGAGGTGAACCACTTCTGCGCTCCAAGGCCCGTCGAGCTGCTCTCGCCATGCGGACGTCCGTGGCAGCTGGAAAGGAGGCTGGGGACTCTGACGATGGCTGGGGCGCGCTACGCAATCTCCACGTACAGGCGGGTGTGCACGATTGCCCCAGGACGAGAGGCGGCGTGCTGCTCAGTAGCTTACGATGGCCAGGTAATTTCGGACGAGATTCTTCCTCCACCGCATGGTATATTTGGCCTGCCGAGCCTCTTGAGCTTTTTTGAAGCGCTTTGGACCATCATGCTCGCGGATTGCTTGAACGCGTACGTCAGACTCCCGATAGTAGCGTGTGTTGGCCCACGGATCTGAAACCCATTGGAGCCCAGAGAGATCTTTCACCCGATACTTCCGACGAGCCTCCATCGTGGTGATATAACCAAGAGTGTCATACCGTGCATGGAGGCACTCCTTGCAAACCACGAGCCCCACATTGGGAGACATCGGCCATTCTATCATGGTGAACTGAAGGCCGCAGAGTCGGCAAGGCTGAGGAGGAACCGTGAGAAATACCCGTGGGCCAGGTGCACCATTCGACGGGACCGGGAATTCATGCATCAAACTTCCAACAGCGGCTTGAGTTTCTTTGCAGGTTGACGCAGAGGCTGCTATATCACCAAGGGCAAGTTGTCCGTTCTCGCACAGGATGCTCAGAACAGATGCAAACCTCTCATTCGATTCCATATCTTAATTGCTCATATATTCTAGAAAGATTTTGAGGACTACCATTCTAACGCATCATGTCCATGTTCCATTCTTGCAGGAAGATGGCATATTCAACTTCTCCGGCACGACGCTAATCTCGCACGGCCTCTTGCTGCGCAACCACTTTGCGGCGGCCCTTGGGGCTTCACATAGCCTCAATTTCGACGCCAACGACATGGCGACCAGGAGTCTCGAAGGGCCGGACGCTCCCAGACTAGACGATCGCGTTTTCGATGCCGCGATGCAGGCCTTCAACGAGTTGGCAGCCCGGCCTCGGATCCAGCACGTCTGCGGACGTCCCGATTGTGCTCATCTGTACACGTCTGAGGTGCAGGCTGCCGAGGCAGAAGCAGAGAGAGCTGGGTGCCCTCTCAAACCGGAGCGAACCGAGGGGTCCACCTCGAATCTGGCGACTTATGCGTTCAGTCGCGACAAGGTCGTCACTTTCGACGGGACGTTTTTTCCCAACTCAAGCGCTATGCGGGACAGCAGTGAGGCCATTCTGCATAGCATCTGCGAGCCGGACCGGGGGGCACCTCACGTGGCAGGGGGGTTCACTCCTCTCAGCATCGGTGGGGTGCGGCCTTCGAACGTCCCGCTTGAGGGCATCGACTGCCCTTGGAAGTTCAGGAACGGGTTGTCTGAGCTGAAGCCGGCCGTACGAGCCGCGGCCTTCCGTTGGTGCAATTTTCGCAAGGCGCCTGCTCAAGGTTCAAACACGCCTCTCTCGGCGGAGGAGTTTGTGGCCATGCGTCAGGGGTTGCCGGCAAACGTGAGGGCCCTGATCGACCTTGTGACGGAATCCGGGACCTGCGCCGACCCTAAGACTTGTGCGGTCTGCAAGGTGGTCCCGCGTCGACCGTGGATGGACGGGGTGTTGAAGGGGGGTCCTGTGGCGCCCACCGGTTGATGCCCGACCCATTTCCAGCCATACGCAGCCCTTTTGCACGCCCTTCTGATACCCCGCTACAGTTGGGTGTTTGGGCACATCGTGACGCTGAAGCTGCTTCGACACCTGTTGCTCGAGGGGCCAGTTGACAACCTGGGACTTGCTTACCTTACCAACGATGGGCCGATGCTAGCAGCCATTCTCCGGCTGCACCCAAGTGGCGTAGTGCAAGCGGGTCCTCGGCAATACGCCTTTCCAGCGACATTGCGTCCGCTCCTCCGGGACATCTACGCGACCAACCTCCTCTGTTTCGAACCGAGTGCTAACCGCCCCAGCGCCTCCGGTTTGTCCCCTTTGGCGGCGCTCCTTGATGCTACGGAGCATCTGTGGGCCCTCGAGCGTGAGCGGCTTCGGTCTTTGGGCAACTCAGGAGACCCTGGCATGGTCTATGCGGAACAGCGTGGATTTGCGCTCAAGGGGGCCGCCAACGCTCTCCTCTTCGAGCTTGAGGTGCGAGAGCCTCAATGCTACGGTTCTGACGGCTTTCTACGAGAGGCCTCGGCAACTTACAGGGAGCGTGTGGGGGCCGTATCAATCTACGATTTTCACCCGCTGCTCTACGGGCGGCCGCAGTTCACGGATTGGGAGGATGCGTCCGGCCGGGGGAAGAAGGGCTCTGAGGAGCGGCTCGCGCAGCACTGTGGGGCCCCAAATCCTCGATCGTCCAAGGGCCGAGCGGGGACGTTTATTGCATGTTGCCAGGACCGGGCGCCCCTCGGCTACCATTGGCTTAAGGGCGGCGAGAGCGTATCAGATTTGGGAACGGTCCTGATCACACGCTTCCCCTTCAAGACGCTGCGCGGCCTGACGATAGTGGAGGACGCTGCCTGCAATGCCCAGGAATGGTTTCTCAACCGGTGAGTGCTACCAATTGACCAATCTGTGTGTTCGACCCATGGTTTGTGCATTTGCACTAACTTTAGCTGCATTAACGTGAGTCTTCAGCTTCTATTGAGCTTTGGTGGCCAAAACGCCCTTTGCGTGCAAGTTTTCCGTTTATGGCCTTTGCTAACAATCTTTACAACCCTCTTTTGTGCAGGGTGCCACAGCTGGCAAAATATATGCTTTTCCTTGTCGATCGCTTCCACTCAGGCCCAATCAGCTGCGCGCCCGCTGGAGCGGCCAAGCGATACGCGACGCACACCTGCTCGCCAACTCTGTTTATCGACTCCTATCCGCAGCACGACCATACCATAACGACAGCTAGCGAAGGGATCAACTCGGGCTTGAAGCGTTCGGCGGCTAGCCTGCAGCAGATCACGAGCATCAGACGCTTGATGAGTAGAGTCACAACGATCCTAGATACGCTGTTTGAGAGGTCTAAATACGCGGTCTTCCAGGGTAAGAACAGTGTGGAGAGCAGCCCACTACGAGAGCTGATCAGAGCGTCTCGTTAACGACAGATGCCCGCCTTGCTCTTATGACCGTATGACTCTATTACCCACTTCCGAGGTCCGGAATACTCTCGACGCCTCCTAACAATCCAACATGGCCCGGCCATCAAAAACCGACACTGCAAGCTGTTGAGAGGGTAATAGGGTAATAGGGTAACACGGTTTTTCGAATTTGCGCTGGTTGATGGGTTGAGTCATGTGTGTGTGTGTATAGACAGTATGAGTTATATGAGTAATAAAGGGGTAATAAGGATTCAAGTACCATGTTGCTAAGAAAAGTCCCCTTTATGTCTTGAAAGGAGCCATTTTAGGTACTTGGCTCCAGATGAATATCTTCCTTTCCCTGTTCATTTTCCTTTTCCTTTTCCTTTTCCTTTTTGTCTGGAGCGCGCACGTGACTCTGTGAGCAATTCGTGCACAATGGCAATCCGTTCTGATCCATTGATGATTCCGCGATGGTCGGCGCCTTTGTGGAGTCCTTTTTCGCCATCCAATGGCAGCCTGTATCTTCTTTATAGCCGGAAACCCGGCACCATCGCCCCACCCATTCAATGGTCGACGACCATGTCTTCTCAGAATGCAGCGCTTTGCATATGGACCCTTCTGGAGGAAACCACCAGCCTTTATGCGTCGATATGTCCTGGATGCTTCTTCCTTGTGGCCTCATGCGGCATTTGCTATTCAGGTTACTAATCAGCACATTGACGTCCATGTGCCGATCCTCCTTAATGTCAAGAGTCGCTAGAAACATGGCATACGTTGCTTTAATGTCCACCGAAGCCACCCAAGTTTCTACCTGGGGGTGGAAGCAGCCGTTCTCAAGCAGCGCTTGAACCATCTTGATGTATGGGGGAATCGAATGATCTTTTAAAGTCTCTCCCCAAATGGTGCTTGGGATCATTTCTGGATTCCAGTCAGAGATATCGATTGAAGAGAGGTATCTGTGGAAGTTTGCCGCTGTTTGTGGCTTGTCCAGCTCTTGAAGGAAAGCGGCAAAATACTCCTTGTTTCCAGCCATGGCGCCCGAGCATTCTTGACAGGAGTAACGGCGGTCTCCAGCTTCTCGTTTGACGGGCCAAGAGTTGTTCGTGGTAAAGATGATGTTGCTCACGTCTCGAGTCTTAATAGCATCTATGCCTTTCTTCTCTAGGCAAGTATCCGGTTGCGTGATGAGTGACTTCATCCTATCATTCAGCTTGTAGGCTCCTCCCCAGTTACCCGCCTCGTCAAAGGCAATCAACAAGCGGTTGGCAGACAATGCGTTGAACTGGCCAATCACTTTCTCAATCTCATTGCAGTACAGATAGTTCTTATACCCGAGGATTTGGTTGCCTAAGAAATCGATTGGGGTGGACTTTCCGCAACCTTGAGGGCCGCGGAAGACTAATGCAACTCCAATCTTGCGCCCCGGTCTTTGAACCGCGTGCGCCATCCATTTGATGTTGAAAGTAAATCGTTCGTTGCAACCGTCACTCAGGATGTAACGGATGTGCCACATGAGCATCGGCATTTGCTGCTCACATTCGGCCATCTCGGAGAGTTTGAGCTTGTGTTGAAGCGGCTCAAACTCCAAACCGCAGAATAGGTTGAAGTGCCGTGGATTGGTTTTCATCGGATCCGGTTCGAAGACGATCCTGTCATACTCACGTCGTTTTGAGTTGCTCTCCCAGAACTTCGCAGCTTCCTTGCTCTTGCCGGGCAGACAATCCAGCTGGATGTTCCTGCACCGCTCAATAAAGTTGTGGCCCGGCCTTTCTATGACCTCTTCTCGCTGGAGTTTGCCATCTTTGTCACGGCAAAAGACGATTTCGGTATAAACCGTCTTGTTGCCTCCAATCACAACCGCAAAATAAGCATTCATCACCTTGATAAGTAGATCGTGCATGTCGTTCTTGCGCTTCTTCCTTTCAGCCGCTTCCTCTTTACTGAGCTTCTTCGTTTCATCGCTTCTCGGAACCAAATAGCGCTCACATTCTCGGATCATGGACGCATCTGCCCTCAGCGGCAAGCACTCGGGCCAGTAATAAACTCCAAGTAAGCACCCTGGGCGTTTGATGCACTCCGAACTAAGACACCGATAGAGCAGGATTCCACCATTGCTCAAGATGCTAAAGTTGTTCGAGACGTGTTCGCACCCGTTCAAGCACGTTCGTGTGCCAACCGTTTTGAATTTCAGAACTTGCCAGCCTGTTTGAGTCCTCGTACCGACACCATTGAATCGACTCTGGTCACTTGGCAAAGCGTTTTGCAGCATCTCTCTGATTGCAGTTAGGGCGGGCTGCAACCCCGGCAAAAGGGAATCCATGTTCAATTCCGAGCCCCCTGTCGATTCTTCAGCTTGCATGTACTGATTGTTGGACGAGCTGATGGGCCTATTCGAGTCGCTAAGGCTCTTGTTGACCTCTACATTTCCCGTTGTACTACCGACTGCCTTTGGTGACGTGTCGTTCAGAAATCGAACCAACCACGGCGGGATAGCAACCCGTGGTGTGGTTTCATCACCTTCTATCCAAGAATAACCAAAGGTTCTGCCCTTGTTATCTTGGTAACTCGAGGGGCTTACAAAAGCCAGTCCGGCGTTGCTTCCACGACCATCAATCGCCCATGTAGTACCTTTGTAAACGATCGTCGCAAAGTTTGATGTATTGAGGAGCCCTTCGGTCTTGCTTGCGCAGAAGAGATAGTGCAAACCGTTTCTTGAACCCGTTCTTGCCTTCAATGTCGCGATGTCACCGTGTTTGTTTATCAGTTCCTGCCACAGTTTTATTCCGGCCTCCTTTGCAGTGTTCGTTTTTGTGGCAGGTTTCCCTTCTGCGTCTATATCAAGCAAAAATATATCCGATATTCCACAGAGAACCGCCAAAGCATTCACGTTTGATTGAGCTTGGCAAACATAGGTGTTGATCCTCTGTTTATATGCATCTATGGATGTGGTTAATGCTAGATACCCTCCTTTACTGAAGATGGCCTTCTTTTTCCCATATTCCATTTCGAGCCTTAACGGAATGGCATACATGCCTTGCTTGTACAGCGATCGGATCGACTTTACCAGAGGGTATTTATGTCTGCTGATGGATCTTCCGGGTATAG